GGGGGGGGGGGGGGGGGGGGGGGGGGGGGGGGGGGTCTTGGCAGGGGTCGGAGGGTTCATCATCCATCATATCTGGTTTGCGAGCGAGGCCGGCACAGGTCATCGAGTTGAAGCATAGACTCCGATAGAGTTCTGTAGACTGTTCACAAAGGATGAACCAGGACCGACGAAGTGATGTTGTCGTCTATGGAGAGTTTCTCTCACAAATAGCATCTATTAAAAGGGCCTTTACCCGTTCAAACCCTCCTGAATAACGAACGCAACATAATGGGGCCCACTTGGCCAGAGTTCAATTCGTGAAAAGCAGATCAAAAGACATGTCCTCTGGGTTGAAAGTCACATCTTAACTTAAGTGAGGAGTTGTGTCAAAGGTCACAGTCGTGCCCCAGGACGAACAGTTGCAACATTCAATTGTGAGAGTCACGTCTGTTCGTCCAGGGGGCTGTGCAAGTCATGTCTGTTCGGGCAGTAAATGTGTCTGTTCGTGCAGTAGATGTGTCTGTTCATAAAGAAGTCAAAGAGATAAGGTCCCATTCTAGATCCAAGTCAAAGAGGGAGTCTAGATGCAGTCTGGAAGTCCGAAATTCAGGCCTAAGGGCCGCAGCAGCAGCAGACCGTGAGAGAAAGGTACTGGGACACATTCTGCAGTGGTCTGGGACTGGGAAAAGATCCAATGAAGAATGATTCAGCCCTCACGAAGGGAGGCCAGCACTATAAGAGACCAAGCTAGCCTCCCTACAGGACAGATTCCCTTTGGCATTGATGCGTGGAACTGCTGTGGCACTTGTGCGCTAGAGTGCAGGGAAGGAGCGCAGGCTTGAAAGCTGCGCCAGGAAGGAGAAGTGCTGGGCGCTGGCTAGCAGAGGAAGCCATAGCTGCGCCAGCTTTGTTAGTAGTAGAAGGGTTAGTGGTAGGATATCAGTGAGTAGCATTCAGAGTAGATTCTCGTAAGTAGGGAGTGTGCGTGCATGATGAGACGAGAGAATCAGAACAGAGATCTTGAGAGAGAAGAGAGAGAGAGGACAGGTTCCTAAGTTGGATATGGTGGATACTTACCTGCTGGCGCCATACCTGTGATCCGGGGCATACGCTGGCTGGGCCAGGCCCTATGTTGGCGAATGATTGAAGGGGACTTGTGTTCTGTTGGCGCTGAACTCTTGAACTCGAGATACTCTTTATATAACGTGATTCTGATAATATGAGCTGCGCTATCTGGTTCTCATCTCATCTCGACTTGATTTTGTGTGAAGCTTCTCTATCTGTGTGATGACGTTTATGCATGCAATGTGTAACACTCCAGCAAGCTGTGAACAGTCAGGTTCCTTGCACTATGGGATGACGAAGTGATGGTGTTGTCTATGGAGAGTTTCTCTCACAAATAGCATCTATGACAGTTGAATCCCATGCTTGTGGATGGGGCACCTTGAAAGGGTGCCTCTCTCCACCGTAAGCGGAGCTAGCCATAGGCAGAGACCTCACACTTCCTGTTCCCTTTTTTCTAAAAGGGAAAATGTGTATAGCACCACCAGATGATCGATGGCTGAACAGATGGATGTTTGTTTATGCAGGTCGATAAAGCGGATAAAGCTTTCAGGAAATTCAGAGAGCTTTGTCCTGAGGATTTCCCACACCGGAAGGTCATGATGGAACTCATCCAGCGAGCGAAAAGGGAGGTAAGAGAGCAACTCTCAATCTAGCTGCGCGCATCTGGGGCTCTTTTATAGTTGAAGTTTTATGTCTTTCATATGTCCTTTTGAACAAACTTGTGGCCCCTTCCCCTCCCC